TTTCCAGATTATAACTAAATCTTCCTAAATGGTCATCTTGCAACTTCCCTTGCTCCTTTCTATCCATCCTCCATGCATTGGCCATAGTAAACCTGTTAAAATATGCCAAACTGTGTTACTCCAAAGGCTTCCCATATAAGTCATGAATAAAAGCCAGAGTCCTTATAAGATGTCTACAAAGTCCTACTGAATTAGGCTTATGCAACCTATTTCCCTTCAACTCTTAATATGCTCTTCAGTAACTATTCTGCTTTAGCACACTGGCCTTGTTTTTCTTGTTTTTCACTCAACAAATGTTTGAGTGAATGTTCCTGGTACTCTTCAAGCATGTTCCCCATTGGCCTTTGCGCTTCCTGCAGAGTTCTCTATCCAGCATCTAAAACAAGGCATGCACAAAGTAGGCTTTCCAAAGATACTGAGTTTATTCAATAAGTTCAGTAAGTGTTGAATGAGTTAATAGATAAATAATGAATTCATTAATTAAAGAGTAATTTGTATTAAGTTATGGAGATTAGAAATAAGGAGCATCCTTTTTCACTGAGGAGACAGACAAGTAAAGGGAAATCCCCACTCTATGTTTAAGTCCTAGAGTAAGAATTAGTGTAGTGTACTATATGGAAAAAAAATAGGACCAGCACTTCATTCAGTCTTGAGGTTAGGAAGGTGCTCTTAGCAGAAATCATACTTGAACAGAGACCCAAAGGCTGAATAGGGACTGTCCAGGTAAAGAGAGCAGATAAGAGAGACTATAGTCTTTAGGGGAACTGCAGTCATGCCATGGGATTGGAATGAAGAGTATGAAGGATAAAGCATTCAGAAGCGGAGGAGTGACCAGGGTCTGGTTCTGAAGGCCTTTGCTACCCTGGTAGGTAAAATGACACAATGGACAAGAGTATTGAGTAAGGGAGTGACTTGACCATACCTGTTTTTAAAAGATAATAATGGAGGTAGTATGCAGAATGGATTGGACTTGGGCAAGCCTGGAGTTAAGAACATTGGATAAAATTTTATTGCTACAATATAAGAAATCAAAGTAGACTAAACCCGGGCTCGGAAGACACAAGTGGCTCACCCAAAGCTAAACTGCTGCTGCATCCAGCTCTGAGAACTTAAGAGGAACAGGCTAGCTCACAAACTGTGCCCTGCAGTACCACCTGGCATCTGTACTGCATGGAATTTAAGAACAGCTGCTGCTGAGCGTGGACAAATTCAATTTGCATCAATACTCTGCATAAAACACCATCAACTTCAAAGATTTGACTGCAGGCACATAGCAAAGTATGGTGCCTACATAGAATATGGTTGTATTCGGTATGTTCACTCATTCATTGACCAGTATTTATTGAGTAGCAACAAGGGCCAGATACTCGTAAGGACTGTCAACACACAGCAATGAACAATCAACAGGAGTTCCTGCCCTCGTGGAGATGATATTCCAGCGAAGAGAGATCAAAGTGACACATGTCCACCACAGTGTGTCAGATGTGATAGCTGCTATGATAGTGAGGAGGGAGCAAAGGAGATGAGGAGAGCCAGGAGGGGGGTGAAGGCAGTCTGACGCCATGAAAAGGGGGAGCAGGGACAATAGCACCAGTAAACCTTTAAGCAAGACTTGAAGGAGAGGAAGGATGCAAGCAGGCATGTATCTGGATAGTTGAGCAGACAGAACATTCTCATCTTACCATATTTTCACTCCAAATATGTACCTGGTTTTAAGGCATCCTTTAATAGTGAAAGGTATATTTGTATCCAGCAAGCAGGGACCTGATTCCCCCTTAGGATCTCCAAACTTTTCAGACCTTCTTGGAGATAGACGAAGGCCAAGGCTGTGCACCAGGTCCTTTGCTGGATGGTGACATTCAGAAGCATCTCTTAGGCACCCCTGGTATGTCCACAATGCCATATGTCTAGCCAACATCAGCTATACCTTTATTTGGATGTTATTCCATTTTAAAATAAAATCAGTTGCAGTTATTTCTTTCAGAAATATGCTAGGTATATGCAAATGAACTAATTTTAGGGGAAACAGTAAAAAGTTTAGAATTAAAATAAAAGTCACTTGTTTTCCATCCAAAAGATAAGCAACATTTGTATCTGTGGTCTTGACATTACAGATAATTCTCAGTTGGAGGGAGATAGGGCATCCACCTTTAAATAACGCAGATGCCTTCCTTCTTTTGGTTGAACAGAATCCCACTGTTGGATGTAACCTTCAGAAAGCCATCCTCTTTTAGAAGCTACATGCTGCAATTTCAGGCATAATCCTCATAGACTAAGCAGGACTGGCAATGTTCTATTTCAGGCATAATCCTCATGGTCTAAGCAAGAATGGAAATTACCAAGTACTCTGCCTGTATGTTTCTGATTATGTAGATTTTTTTTCTTCTGAAACATGCAGTGTCATAATTTGTTTGGAGAAGACCTTTACCTGAACCACTGTAAATGGGAAATCTTTAACTTATTTCTTTGAATAAAGAACTCTGCTGGGGGCTCTAACATAATTTCAACATAGAAACAGTAGATAATTGTTCTTTACCGACCACATCGAGAAAGTGGCTTAATGTCTGAGCTTCATTCAGTTCTTCATTTGTGGCATTGATACTATCCACCTTTCTATATCTTAGTTTGCTAGTAAGAAAAATGACATAAGTGAAAGCACCTCGTAATTGTGAAATGCCATGCAAATGTAAAGGTGTTATTAGTTATCAAAATAAGCCTTTACTATCTTAAATCACCTGTTTTAAACTCAACTTTCAATGCTTGGATCTTCTAACTACAGAATGCCAGAGGACCCAAAACTCTAACATTAAACTACAGTGCCGCCTAGCCCACGTAGGAGGTAAGGACAGCCGATGAGCTTCAGGAGGAAGCTCTGCTACAGATGGTTCTTTTGCCTGAGGGAAGGACCATTAATTGTACTTTTGGATGATTTCCATCTGTTCAAAGGAAAAGCACTAAGGTGTTTTCTTCAGTATTTTCCTGTAACATTCTATTTTTAATTGTACAAAAGGAGTAAAAAAGTAAATATTCTTTGCTATTTAAACTTTCTTCCTCCAAATTGGTTTAAATGAAGAGTACTTCCAAAAGAACATCACTTGATTTATGCCAAGACTCACTGTAATGTTTCTGATTTATATATGATTGCCTAATTGCATTTGCCAAATTCCCTATAATCCATTGTCAGAGAGGAAGTTGGCCACAGCGCTTTCTTACAAAGAGGAAATGGGGGGCTAAGCTTTTTCACAAGATTGCCCAGCCAGCTATTATTAGGAGCTTTAGCTCCCTAGTTCCAATATGCCTTGAATCCACCAAGAGATACAGAATTATGCAAGGAAAGGCCATTGAGTATTTTAATATCTCAGTGTGGAAATATTTGCTACCATGGCTTATGAAAACCCATATCTAAAAATATATATTTTTATAAATATAAACGATATGTTTTATAAAAATATATCCATTGCTTCCTTCCATAGGCTACAGTTCTTTATCTTCAGTTCTTAATTTCATGGATTTTTTTTTTAAATAGAAATTTGAAGTTTAAATGGTCCAACAGGTAAGTTGGGTCCCAAAGTGATAAGTCCTTAGGAAACTGAACCCGCTCTGTGGGTTTATTTTTCATGCTGCGCATTTAAGTATTAATCAGCGCAGCTTTCAGAGATTTCTTTCTAACATCCTTTCCTATGCAAGATAAGGAATGCAATTCATTAGACCATTGGAGGAGCCAGAGGCTTTGCTAAGCTTTGCCTTTCCTGACTGTTCATCTCAAATGAAATGGGAGTTTGTGTGTGTGTGTGTGTGTGTGTGTGTGTGTGTGTGTGTGTGTGTGTGTGTGTGTGTGTGTGTGTGTGTGTGTCTACAGCATACCTGTGACCCGACCTGAATTATGACATAGCCTTGGTTGTCTTTCAGGCTAATGTGTCTCTCCCCTTCAGGGGTCAAAGATCATTTCAGCCTCAGTGTCCCTTCTACCACCCACGAAGAGAGGCAGCAAGTGCCATCCGGGGAAACTGGGAGGTGACTTTATCACCAGTTATTTTTCTTTGCATTTCTCTATCAACCTACTTCAGAAAATACTCAAGAAATAAAAATAACTATTCTCCACCTATGGGGTCTCTGTGATCTGCCTGCCCCCTTTTCAGTGAAAGCCTCTTTGACCCTAGCAATGGTCCTTTGCGTGTTCTATTCCTTTTTAGGTATAAGCCTCACAAACACCAAGCCCAAAGCCTACAGCAAAGAGAATGCAGGCACAGGGCAGCGCTCCTTTCCCGCTGCCTTTTTAACTTGGGAGGGGAGGCTTTATTTTGGCGAGGATAATGGTATTCATGGGAGTGGCGGGACGCAAGTGTGTCTCATTACACGTTAATGGCAGACATCCCGCAGCAGCCCGGTGACTTCCCCTGTGTACTCCTAGGTGGATCCGGGGACCCTTCTCTCTCTAAGACACCCTCCCGCGCCCCTCACTCCGCCCCCTCCCAGGTCTCGGCTCGTCAAAGCTTCCCGGGAGCCGCGGTTGGTCCAGGCCGGCAATCGCAGCACCTCGTGGAGTCGCGGGGCCGGGGGTGGGGTGGGTGGAGAGGGGGTCTGTTTGTAGTACTCGCAGCCCTGATGTCACAGGCGCGGCAAGGACATCGCAAGGAGGAGTCGGATTACAGTAAGGATGGGCAGTGCAGCAGGCAGCCGGAGCGCACGCTCCAGCCGCCGGGGCTTGTAGCCCGGGAGCGGCAGCCTGCGAGGCTCTCACCCGCGGAGGAGGCGCGCTGGGCGCTCGCCTTTCCCCACGCCGGGCCGTCCGCGCCGGCTGTAGCATGAAACGGCTCTGTTCCGCGAGTCAGCCCTGCGTGCGAGCTGATGCTGAGGACGCCGCGGCGGGGTTCCGGCTGCCTGATTAATGAGAAACATAATGTATTTTGGTGAGTGTCGACTCTGATGATGTAATGACGGGGGTGCCCAGCAGCTCATCGGTGCAGACAAGCCCTTTAATAAAAAACCTTAAACCTACCTTCAGTTGGCAACTGGAGGAGCAAGACTGTGCAGCCTTCCAAGCTTCCTTTGTGCTACAGTTGGAGCTGTTCATTAGTCGCGGATGAGTTTAAGTTGGGAAAAGAAAAGACACAGGGGTGGGGGGTGGTAAACTTTGCCTAGATTCCTCTGCAGGAAGTTGGCCTTTTTAGCTAGGGGAAGGAGAAATGGTACAGCGTGAAGGCATGGGGTAACTTAATGGAATGTGAAACAAAGTTCCTTTGCTACAGATGTTGCAAACGCTAAGTCAGTGTCAGTATTTCACTGAGCATTTTGGTTTTTCCCCTACTTCTGAAGCAGAAGGGGAGAACATTCCTTGGTGTGCAGTGGTTGAGCCGCTGAGAACACTGCTTCATTCCATCCCAGTTTTCCTTCTAGCTAGGGCAGCCTCGCACAAAATGCATATTGTTTTAAACCTTCAGAGGTCTTGGGGCTGTTAAATATTTGTGCGGTATAGTTGTGGACCACGGCGAAGACCTCTCTTAGGTCCTCAGCTGAGCTGCCTGCAGTACAGGAAACATGTTAAGGCTTAAATCTGGGCTCTCCGTGGAGCACTGTAAGCGGGCTGCGAACAGCACATTTGCATTGTAACGCTGCAACTTACTGCTGGCAGAGAAGGCAAAATCCTTTCACTAAATAAGAAGAAGCCAAGGATTAGGACTGAATATCCTTTCATCCTCCCTGGAGTTATGCTCTCCTTCTGTGAGTTCCATCCCGCGGCATCGTCGAAGGGCATCTATCTGATACTAAAAGGTTTGTGAGAACAACTGGAGTGGGGTTAGGGAAGGATTCCACCAGGCAAATGCTCTGGGTGATTTCTTGGTTTGCTTTCAATATGGAATCTAGAGTCATTTTTTCAGATTAAAGAGGTACTTTGATAAACTTGCATGTGGGCAGTATTAATTTCTTGGGCATTTATTTCTGTGTGTACTATTTGCTTTGTTTTGTTTTCTTGAGCCTTTGAAACATTTGAGAAAGTATGGAAAGAGCCCAAGTTGCAAAAGCTGAATGCCTTTAGTCGTCTTGACAACAGTTTTGATTTCCCTATAATTTGTGTCATATTAGAATAGAAGTCTTAAAATAACTAAAATTGATTTGGATGAAGCAATCCCCATTCCATAGCCAAATTGAAGCAGAATCCAGAATTAAACAACACCTCCTTCCAGGCGGTAGTAGAACAAGTATTAGGCTTATGTATCGGCAATTGGTAAAATAGCAAGTGCTTATCAGGAATATATTTTTGATAAATGGAAAAGCTTGTAAAGATAATATGTCTTTTGGGCAAGATACAATCTCAGCATCTGTAATGGTATTGAGAGATGCAAAGTAGATTATAATTTTAATTTAAGTTTTTAGCCTCTTGCTACAATCCGTTATGTGATCATGGTGTGGAAGCCAGGTTAACAAGAGTAGTGGTATAGCAAAAAGTACTGGTCAGTGGCCATTCATGCTGTACTGGGTCATCATGTGGCCAATGGGGAAATGTTCACTGGGGTGGCTCATGTTATTAACTGTATGCTGGTCCAGCCGCCTTGTAAAGCAGGGTGATTCACAGGGCAATTAATTTCACTGTGTAATGCAAGTTTTTAATAGTACCATTTGAAATGTGATGTCCTACTTCAGATGAAACTGTACTCTTTTAAAGGCAAGGCTAAAGTTGCCCTCTGTGTCATGAACATGCTTCAGGCTTACCATAATTCCAGCATGAGATATGTTTTTCTATTCCTGGAGGAAATCGTGTGTCTTCAGGAATGCTGTTTCTTTCTGGTTATGCTATGCAGCCCCTCACTCATGCTGTTAGACATCCAGAACCCTGGACACCCACCTGTCTATAATAAAATACATGGTACAAGAGCTAGGGCAAGTAGAATTGAGCTATACAGCCCAGGCAAGCTAAGGTTCAGTAGCATTCTCTTTGCAAATCCCTAAGACTACGTATGTATGCATGTGTGTGTGTGTGTCTCCAAAATTTAGCTACTTCACATAGTTTTTCAAAACAATTATTTTCCTTGTAGTTTGGTAGCCCAGTACTTTCTTCTTCATTTTTGAACTGCATATGGTTTATCAAGTCAGGGAGAACAGGGACAAAGAGAAAGAGGGGCTGAATGCTTGGGCTTTTCTGCTGATTTGTGGGAATGGGGTAGAGGTGTCAGAAGTCTTCTATTTGCATCCCCAGCAGGGAGTGGTGAAGAGCAAGGTGATGCTGTAACACCATGTAAACTTATATGCAAGCAGGATATTTACTTCCTTTATAAATAATCTAATTTGTCAGTGTAGCGTTCTCCCCACCCCCAGCCCCCTCGCCAGACACACTCAAACATAACTGAAGAATCATTGATTGAACAAGCTGGCGTAGCTTGCTTCTCCAGGCTCCTCCTTCCCCTTAGGGACTGGACAGTTGGACCCTGTCCTTGATCAGCTGCTGTCAGTTGCGTAGGTGCAAGTTTGTGGAATATGAAATGTTTCCAGGTCTCAGGAAGAGCGCATGTTTTGAGTGTGCTGTCTCAGATGTACAAGGCTAATGGACCCTTTTAATGACTTAAGCCTCACTCTTATCTCCTATTGAAATTTGAGTGCAGTGTTTTCAATAATTGTTCCTTTGCACTTACTGTGTAGTGATTTAAGAGTTTGCTGTTGAGTCACCGTGGATATTTTTGTTAGTTATTCAATCGATCTTGCATTTATTACTGGGAGTTAAAAATAAGGTTCACACAGGAGGAAGAAGTGTGGAAAATCCCAGTCAGCAACCTGATTTACTGTGAAAGAAAGGGAAAGTAGTACTTATAAAGTTACCCTCCCCACCCTCATAAATATTTTACATAGTTAAAAAGTACAAGTGCTAAGAATGAATAGCCATTAATAATATATCCAGAAATAAAAGCAAGGCAGCTGGGAGACTTCCCCCCGGATGAAGGAAGAGGCTGTGGGTGGTTGTCAGTACAACAGACCTGGGCTGCCGAGTTACAGTCTGGTTAAGAGGGTGTACTAGTATGAAGGGCAGGTGCATCCTGGCTGTTTCTCAGAGCTTGGCAGCAGTTGTAACTGTGTTCTGTCTCCAGCTCCGAGCACTGTATGTCTGAATCTCTCCCCCTTTCCATCTGGCTCAGCACATTTCTCCATTGCTGGAGTGGTGAGTCGTTGCCAGCGGTCATGTCAACTTCACTAATTGTCCACTGTTGGCCAGAGAGATGCCATATCACAACCCTTTGCCATCAGGAGAGAAAATGGGAAACTGATTGCACTCAGAGACTTCTGCAAGACCAAAAATGAGTATGTTCTCAGGCCTAAGTCAGCCAGGTGGAGACTAGCATGTGCTTACACTGGGAAAGGGCTGGGGCTTGCTCCACGAGAATACTCCCCCAAAAAGAAATTATATTCCTTCAACAAATGAGCAGAACTGAGAGACATATATTAGAGCTTATCTAAGAGCTACTATTAATAGTGTATTAATTAAACCTGAGGAAAAGGGCAAGCAAAATTCAGGAATTGTGAACGAGTCATTCCAACTCCGCTTGGTGTTGTTCATGGCTGTCTTCCTTATAATGCCTAAGGAAAATAGGAAAAATACCTAGTGGTATGCCCATCATGCTAAAAAATACTGAATTGAGGAAGCTTGTAATACAATAACTAGAAAAAAGTCTGGTAGGAAAATTCTAGACCAGAGACCTATTCCCCTGCCTATAATAGACACGTTTGTACATTGTCATAGGAGGACTTTTGTTCTTCCCCTGGGATGTTAAGAACATTTTCAAGTTGGCATTTACACTTTTGGTTGTGGCTGGACCATCAAGTTTCACCTCTAGAGCAGTATGTTAGGAAAACAATTAAGCAACAAGGTTATGAGGAAGGAAACGAGCGGAAAACAGCAGGCAGCAGAGAAAAACATCCCTGTCTTTTTGTATTTTCAATGGAAACATTTAACTCGTCCTAATTAGTTTGTACTGAGTAATCTGTTATGGGGAATTAGGTCCACTAGAGTCTTTCTAAACACTCTAGAGGGGCTTCCGTCTTCTCAGGGTGATGGGGAGAGAGAATAATTTCAGAAGATGCTTGTTAGTGCAAATTCAGCTTTTTAAGGTTTGCAGACATTGCCATTACGTTTGATTACAAATGAATCTGCATGACATGCAATAAATTACTGCATAAAGGGATGGTGAATGTGACAGGTGAACACTGTCAAAAGGATTGTAGTGTGCTGGACCTGATATCTAAGAGAACTTCACAAAACCGAAGGATTTCTTCCTCAAGAGAGTTCTCTTTTAAATTCATATGAAGTTCTTTTAAGGAGCTAAATTCCAAATTTGATCAATATGCCAGTACCATGGATTCCTTATTATACCCTTAAATTTTGAGCTGATTTTTTTCTTTTTTTAAAGGACCTTATTAGTTGCTGTAATTATATGGAAATGAGATGGGTTTATTTAAGGGATAAGTTCCAAAATTCATGAGATAATGATGACTTGCAAAGTTACCCTTTTGTGGGTGGTGTAATTGTTCCAAAAAACAAATGAAAAATTTAAATTAGTGGTTTCTGACTTCCATTCCAGAAGATCTGGCCACAGCTGCTTTTGACTGAAACCTCCCTTGATAAGACAAGATATGTTGGCATACATGCACCCAAGCTTTTGTGTGTGTGTGTGTGTGGTGTGTGTGTGTATGTGTGTGTGTTTCACATTGGATTGCCAAGTTGTGCCTTATTACAACTGTGCCTAATACTCAAATATTCCTCATTCACATTTTTTTAGGTATCTCTAAATCTTTCCACTTGATCTAAAAGATAACACATTAAGTGTTGATTTAATCAGCTGGATATTAAGCTATTTTTTGAACACAGCTGCTTTTCAAGTTTAACAACCATTATATACATTAGAGGTTTTAAAAATCAAGTTTTAAGGATAATTTTCAAAGATTTTCCTGTGCAGAATGCTTATCTAAGCAGAAACCTATTTCTACTTTGACCTTGAGAAAGAGATGTTTCCATTTGTATTGCACTATGAAAAACATGTCAAAAAAACCCACAAAGGTCATAGTTGCTGCCCTCTCTCTCTATGTCTCTCTTTAAAGAAGCCATTACATATCATTTCCCACAAAGATTAGTTTTGCAACAGAATTTCACACATGACTGGTGGCATTAAGAGAAAATACAGCATAAGAGGTAGCTAGAAATATCAAAGCTTAAAGCGGTTGAGATCATGCTTGAACCAAATTGCTAGGGTTGAAAATAGGAAAACGCTTTGCTCTGTCGCAGCGTTAAAATCATTAGAAGCAGCTGCAAGTCGCCCTTCATTGCATGTGAACGCCAGGTTTGCATGGCCTTTAAAATGGAAGGATTTCCATGAAACCCTCTCAGTTCCAAAACCTGAAGTGCACATGAATCTCCATCAGAGCCCTGCATGGGACGCATTGAACCTGTTTCCCTTATCAATCTTTTCAGTTTCTCTTTTTCCTCCAACTTGGAATATCACATTTCTGTAAGTTGGGAGGAAAGAGAAAAGTAACCTGCCCAAGGTCAGACCGGAAATCGACAGCAGTGTCAGCATGCCCCAAAGCATCACGGTGCCTGGCAGGAGATGGGGGCTGTGGGGCGGGGCTGGAGCTCGTCAGTCACGTGTTCTTTCACTTGGCTGTACCCTGTTTATTCTGTATCCTCAGCAGCCCACTCATTTCAGTGCAGGGCACATAGGCACTTACAAATAGGTGTTGAGTGTGCAAGATTGGGGGGGAGGGACCAGAGAAGAAGGGAACCCACTTCC